AGGTCCTGAGCGCTCTGGAGCAGGTTTTCATCAAGGATCTCTCTGTACTTTGCTCCGTTCATCTTTGCCTTGATCCTGAATAGTCTCCCAGTCCCTGCTACTGAAAAACATCCCCACAGCATGATGCTGCCACCACCATGCTTCACCATAAGGATGGTGGCAGGTTTCCTCCAGACGTGACGCTTGGAATTCAGGCCAAAGAGTGCAATCTTGGTTTCATCAGACCAGAGAATCTTGTTTCTCATGGTCTGAGCGTCTTTAGGTGCCTTTTGGCAAACTCCAAGCGGGCTGTCATGTGCCTTTTACTGAGGAGTGGCTTTCGTCTGGTCACTCTACCATAAAGGCCTGATTGGTGGAGTGCTGCAGAGATGGTTGTCCTTCTGGAAGGTTCTCCCATCTCCACATAGGAACTCTGGAGCTCTATCAGAGTGACCATCAGGTTCTTGGTCACCTCCCTGACAAAGGCCCTTCTCCCGATTGCTCAGTTTGGCCAGGAGGCCAGCTCTAGGAAGAGTCTTGGCGGTTCCAAACTTCTTCCATTTAAGAATGATGGAGGCCACTTTGTTCTTGGGGACCTTCAATGCTGCAGAAATATTTTGGGACCCTTCCCCAGATCTGTGCCTCGACACCCCTCTCAATCAGAACGATTGTTACCTGTTACCTGTATAAAAGACACCAGTCCACAGAAGCAATCAATCAGATTCCAAATTCTCCACCATGGCCAAGACCAAAGAGCTCTCCAAGGATGTCAGGGACAAGATTGTAGACTTACACAAAGCTGGAATGGGCTACAAGACCATCGCCAAGCAGCTTGGTGAGAAGGTGACAACAGTTGGTGCGATTATTCGCAAATGGAAGAAACACAAAATAACTGTAAATCTCCCTCGGCCTGGGGCTCAATGCAAGATCTCACCTCGTGGAGTTGCAATGATAAGAACGGTGAGGAATCAGCCCAGAACTACACGGGAGGATCTTGTCAATGATCTCAAGGCAGCTGGGACCATAGTCACCAAGAAACCAATTGGTAACACACTACGCTGTGAAGGACTGAAATCCTGCAGCGCCCGCAAGGTCCCCCTGCTCAAGAAAGCACATATACAGGCCCGTCTGAAGTTTGCCAATGAACATCTGAATGATTCAGAGGAGAACTGGGTGAAAGTGTTGTGGTCAGATGAGACCAAAATTGAGCTCTTTGGCATCAACTCAACTCGCCGTGTTTGGAGGAGGAGGAATGCTGCCTATGACCCCAAGAACACCATCCCCACCGTCAAACATGGAGGTGGAAACATTATGCTTTGGGGGTGTTTTTCTGCTAAGGGGACAGTACAACTTCACCGCATCAAAGGGATCAAAGGGACGATGGACGGCGTCATGTACCGTCAAATCTTGGGTGAGAACCTCCTTCCCTCAGCCAGGGCATTGAAAATGGGTCGTGGATGGGTATTCCAGCATGACAATGACCCAAAACACACGGCCAAGGCAACAAAGGAGTGGCTCAAGAAGAAGCACATTAAGGTCCTGGAGTGGCCTAGCCAGTCTCCAGACCTTAATCCCATAGAAAATCTGTGGAGGGAGCTGAAGGTTCGAGTTGCCAAACGTCAGCCTCGAAACCTTAATGACTTGGAGAAGATCTGCAAAGAGGAGTGGGACAAAATCCCTCTTGAGATGTGTGCAAACCTGGTGGCCAACTACAAGAAACGTCTGACCTCTGCGATTGCCAACAAGGGTTTTGCCACCAAGTACTAAGTCATGTTTTGCAAAGGGGTCAACTACTTATTTCCCTCATTAAAATGCAAATCAATTTATAACATTTTTGACATGCGTTTTTCTGGATTTTGTTGTTATTCTGTCTCTCACTGTTCAAATAAACCTACCATACATTATAGACTGATCATGTCTTTGTCAGTGGGCAAACGTACAAAATCAGCAGGAGTTCAATTACTTTTTTTCCCTCTTTTTTATTTTTTAATAAATTTGCAAAAGAAATCTAAAAACCTGTTTTCGCATTGTCATTATGGGGTATTGTGTGTAGATTGAGGGAAACAATTTATTCAATCAATTTTAGAATAAGGCTGTAATGTAATAAAATGTGGAAAAAGTAAAGGGGTCTGAATACTTTCTGAAGGCACTGTATACCCTAACCAACACAATATTACTAACATGTTCTGCCAGTTTCACAGCGATTATATATTTCAGTAATCTATAAAAAAAAAAAAAAAAAACACTTTCAGATTGTACAGTATTTGTATTTATATAAATTCAACTACAAAATAGGTCCCATGTATGCAAAAATACTGTACCAGGATTTCAGTCAAGGCAGTTCACACAGTACATACTGTTCTTCAGAAGGGTGAGGGCTATGCGATTCAGACTTAGTAAACGCTTTCGCTGCTGTACAAAAATGGGTCAATTTCAACAACGCTTCTTGGAATCCTTCAACAGAATGAGTGAATTGTGTGACTAGACAAGCCTCTTGTAATCATGCTGTGCCAACAAGACAAATTTAGATTTTTTTGAAAATATAAATCCGTTATTTTTTTTAATGAGAGAAAATGCTTGAAACATGGGTTGAGCAGGTGAAGTATGGTTGGCCTTAGGTGTACATTACAGTAACTAAGCTATGGTCCAAGTGTTGAAGGTGGCTGCTAATATTTCTAAAAGCCTTCAGTGATACGACAAATGTTTAATGAAACATGTAAATGTTAAACAACGAGATATGACATGCTTCTCAGGCACAACTTGGGAAAACTAAACAACAAGGACATGTTTTACAAAGAGCATCGCCTTATCGATACGCAATACCTCTTCACCTTGTGGAAAATGCCCCCCCATTGCTTACAGAAAATCTCAACCGAAATACTTAGGGGCAGATTGACTTATACCCCCTTCTAGAAAAAAAGACAAAATGCAACAAACAACAAAAAACACGACGACAGGTGCAGCGGTGTTAACGATTTGATACATCCATGTATGAAGGCCAAAACTGAATTCTGACGAAGATCGTGAAGTGGGGCTGTAATAGACTAGAGACGAAAGTGATCAATAAAATCATACCATGTCCATGAGTAGACTACCCCGAGCAGATACTTCACAATTCAATAAAATAAAAAATATCAACTGATACAAACCAATGAGCAATGACTCAGACACTACTTTTGTCCAAACCATCTCTGCTTTAAATATTTAAATACTTATAGACAATATAAATAATTACATTTTCCATTGTGTTTATGGAAATAGGCAGCAGTAGATCAGATATTGGGGTGATGTCAAATCTGAATCTGAAACACGGAATATGGCCAAATGACTGGTGAAAGGCCACAGAACATTGGCCAAGTCAGAATTCATATATAAAAGACAAATACAAACTGTAGGTGAATAACGTTTTTTTTGTTTTACAAACTCAAAGCTGTACATATTTTTTCAGGGCTTTGACTAATGTAACATAGGCCTACACAGCATTCTAGAAGTAACCGCTGCCCAATGCAACAAACAAAAAAAACAGGGTGAGATATGCTGAAGCTGCAAAAGTCCTATATCCATGGTACTGAGAGGTGAGATTAAAAGGCTATTCTCACTGATAAATCGCTTCAGATCAGAACACACATTTTGTGAAGTCATAGAAAACGGTGTAAAGCTTTTAGCTAGAGCCTTGAACCGTGCACCCTCATCACAACTGAGCCTTGAACCGTGCACCCTAGCCTCATCACAACTGAGCCTTGAACCGTGTACCCAAGCCTCGTCACAACTGAGCCTTGAACCGTGTACCCAAGCCTCGTCACAACTGAGCCTTGAACCGTGTACCCTCGTCACAACTGAGCCTTGAACCGTGCACCCAAGCCTCGTCACAACTGCGTTCATAAACATTGCATCAGAATCTTGTAATTGTCTCTCCCTCGCGTGTATTTTTCATGGGTGGAATAATTCAAGAGCTGCAGAATATTGAATTAACTTAAAACAAAACAAAAATCTGTTTACCATAAACTGTTTGGTGGAATATACAGTCCCCAAAGCCAAATAAGACAAACAAACAAAAAGATGACCTGGGTGAAATATCTACAGAAGATATCAATTAGACAAAAAGTAAAAAATACAGGCAAGAGCTGTTTAAAAGTTAATATAACAGACTCTGTCCTGGATTCAATCAAAGGCGCGCTGTCATAAGGCACTGCACTGTTGACAATTAGTCTTTTAAAAGGCAATTTCCCTGACGTTCGAAGATGGCATTCATGGTGAACGCTACAGATGACAGCTCAAGCGTAAATTACCTTTTAAAGTCAAGTGCAGTACACTTATCGACAACGCACCTTTAATTTAATCCCGGCCTTTATTCAATTCAAATAGCAATAAGTCATGTTATGAATGGAAAGCTTTACAGGCGTCAATGTGGAGAATCCAATAAGCCTCCAATCCATTGGGCTGCGCTGTTTTCCCCAAGACTTAGTTCCAACGTAGTTTAAGAGTTCATCTTATTGCAAGCTCCACAATGGAAGTCGCCTGGGTTTTGTCAAAGTTTTCAATGTGCACTTTCGTTGTGTCATAAATAAAATGCTGATTCCCATGTTGATAGAACATCCAACTCAAATCAGTCCTGAGGACACCCCCACTGTGCAAGACACTGTGTGTATTCATCAATGTCTTCACCCTCCTCCAATCCCTCCATCCCTTTCAATCTAGGCCACATTTAGGTTGAACCTGTAATGTGGAATGGTATTTCGGAAGCCCGGGGGTTATTGGGTAGAGCATTGTTTCTCAACCCTGGTCCTCCATTACCCCCAACGGTACACATTTATGTTGTAGCCCCGGACAAACGCACCTCATTCAACTCATTGAGGGCGGCAGGTAGCTTAGTGGGTAAGAGCGTTGTGCCAGTAACCGAAAGGTCGCTGGTTCTAATCCCCGAGCCGACTAGGTGAAAAATCTGTCGATGTGCGCTTAAGCAAGGCACTTAACCCTAATTGCTCCTGTAAGTCGCTCTGGATAAGAGCGTCTGCTAAATGACTAAAATGTAAATGTAAATGTTGATGGTTAGTTGACAAGTTTAATCAGGTGTGTTTGTCCAGAGTTACAATAAAAATGTGTACTGTTGGGGGTACTGGAGGACCAGGGTTGGGAAACACTGGGGTAAAAGGTCGAAGGCCGGGGTTATTGGGTAAAGGGTCGAAGGCCGGGGTTATTGGGTAAAGGGTCAACACATGGTCACCAGGATGCTAGGAAGATTTAAAGGTCCAGCAGCAACGTCTACAAAATGTTATTTTTAGCTGGCCCCCTTCTCAATGCACAAACACACATACAATTCATCACACACACAAGAGGGATGGTGGGTTGAACCCGTTGCACTCCCAGTGCTGTTTGTCTGGTTCCCCCACTGAAGGGGGCAAGCTTTCCTTAAAACTCATCAATCTTCTTCTGCAGGTATTGGAGGATGGAGTCCATCCCCTGCGAGGAGCCCCACACTCTCTTCAGCGCCTCACACTCGCGTTCGTTGGCCTGCTCCAGGGCAGCCCGGTTTGCATTTCGCACCAGTGCTTTGGACTCCCGCAGGACCTACAGTGCAGCAGAGGCCCCCCCCACCCCACCCCGGTGGGAAAAGGAAAGGAAAATGACTTATGGATATGGAAGGATATTGGCATAGATTTTGCTTAACCATTAATTGTGGGACAAGAGGTCACTCTTATGTCAACAATGTCTGCACAGACGATTCATGAGAAAGTCTGCGACATCCAGATATTGTGGCTTGATCTCAATTCAATGTATTGCTAAAAGCATATTATTGTAAAAACACACTCTTGGTTCTGTTTCGGGTTGGGAGATATTGAAAAGTTAACAATTCAAGCGGCCGCTGTTGGTGGATGTAGTGTGCGTTTATGAGTGTCAGTGGGGTAATGTTTACGTTTTTTGATGAGACAAAAACGTGACAACAAAAGACAAAAGAGGGAGGGGCGGGGAGGTGCGTACCGTGACTGTAGAAATATAAAAAAAAAAAAACGTCTAAATCAAATTAAAAAGGATGACTTACAACTGAATTACAAGAGACTAGCTCCCTAATGCGAACCATCACCTCCTGAGTGAAAGTCCCGGGCCACAGCACCTGGGACACGAGGCCTTTAGCACAGGCCTCCTGGGCTGTCAGCTTCCTCCCACTCAGCAGCATCTCATTGGCCTGGGAGAAGAGGGAGAGAGGTTAAAGGTTATAGGTTAAAGAGCCACTGAACACGACGATTGGCACGTGTGTTTTTCTGTTGCTCATTAGAGAGAAAAAAACGAGATTTCAGTCTTGGAGGCGTGTTTCCTGACCGATTCCCGAGTTTGGTTAATGATGTTTGTCCCTCATGAGACAGTGTAGACGCGGAAACCTGTCACTTCCTCAAAATCCCCAGAATGAATCTAAGATAAAGAAAGAAATCTGTAATAAATGTTTTAAGTTTTTTGCAGAGGATGTTTTAGTTATGCAATTTGACAAGGTGTTTTGGTGCAGTATTTCTCAAGTTAAAGAAATGCGGTAACGTGTCGTCTTATGTAAACAAAGTCGGAGCTGATGGGCCGGTCGGTCTCACTGTCTATGCTATTGAATGGCGAGCAATCACCGCAGCGGTTCACCCCAAGTACTACTAGTATGTATGTGGTCCTCTGTAGCTCAGCTGGTAGAGCACGGCGCTTGTAACGCCAAGGTAGTGGGTTCGATCCCCGGGACCACCCATACACAAAAAATTTATGCACGCATGACTGTAAGTCGCTTTGGATAAAAGCGTCTGCTAAATGGCATATTATTATATTATTATATGTGTCTGTACTTGCCTTTAACCAAAGCGTCAAATCGTTACAGCTCTGAAGTTCACGAGCAATGTTATTCAATTCAAAAAATGTTGTCTAGATACTTCAACTCTGTATGGCAAGCGTGAATGTGACCGATAACGTTTATGAGACGGCTTTGAGCCACAGTTCGTTGTAGCTACGTTAACAATCTAATCACGTCACTGTTTTCACGAGACAGCGTGGTGGTATCAAGAATCGTCACGACCGAGTGAGGAATCTTGTAGTCTGTGCCAGATCGTTTAATGTGAGAGGTTCAGCGATGTCAGGATTTTAAAAGTTGTGTAGTGTACACCCGGAAATTAGTGGGGAAAAATGGACATAGTCAAATCAAAACCCAACCTTCATTGACCCGTTGTGAAGCACGGACGCTTGATTCAAACCCATGATCGCAGCAGTACATCTAGAGACCGCTAGACCACCCCAAATCACTGTCATATCAGTTTTTCACTGACCAAATCCAGACACAGATTAAAAACCTAGTCCTGGAGTAAAAAGTAGGTAAAATGGTGATTCCCCATCTCCGGGAAACCGGCCCAGGGAGTGCTACACTTAAAACCAGTTCCCCACACAATATCTGTATTGCAATGCTAGACCACTCCCCCTTCTGAGAATGTGCAGGGTTTTCAGCCAACACTGTGTGAACTCACCGAGGCCACGCCCATGATGCGAGGGAAGGTGATGGAGGCGCAGGCGTCGGGTGTCTGTCCGTAGGTGGTGTAGGGCGTCTGGAACCAGGCTTTCTCGTTGGCCCAGACCACGTCACACAGCGGGAGGATGGAGGCTCCGAGGCCCACCGCTGACCCGTTCACAGCTACGACGATGGGCTTCTTGAATTGGATGAAGGTGTTCACGAATGTCCTAAGGATGGGAAATGACAGACTGGGTCTGCATCACCGTCTTCTGTGGCATTATTACAACGCTTGACACTACAACACACAGCTAGCATTCTACATTTTACATTTACATTTTAGTCATTTCGCAGACGCTCTTATCCAGAGCGACTTACAGTTAGTGAGTGCATACATTATTATTTTATACTGGCCCACCGTGGGAATCGAACCCACAACCCTGGCGTTGCAAACGCCATGCTCTACCAACTGAGCTACATCCCTGCCGGCCATTCCCTCCCCTACCCTGGACGACGCTGGGCCAATTGTGCGCCGCCCCATGGGTCTCCCGGTCACGGCCGGCTATGACAGAGCCTGGATTCGAACCAGGATCTCTAGTGGCACAGCTAGCACTGTGATGCAGTGCCTTAGACCCACTGCGCCACTCGGGAGAGTGACCAGTTCAAAATAACCGATGATTTGAGACAACTGTCTACAAATCTGTCAGTTGCACTGATCTGAAAGAACTGACCAGAGATGAAAGCCAGCCTAATGATAAGCTTCCACCATTTAGTTTTCTCTAAATCAGTGCAGATGAAGGTAAGGATGAGGACAGATTTTTGGACAATCGAGAAAGGAGGAAGTTGAGCCATCTATGTGTCCCTTCCAACCTTGATAATCATCCATATAAAAAATAGACACAGAGGTAAGCGTTCCGACCTACCTAATGGTCTCGGCCATCTTGATGCTCTCCTTCTTGCGGTCGTCGGTGAGCCGCCTGATGAAGTGGATGAAGTCCAGGCCGAAGCAGAAGAAGCTGCCCACGGCGCTCAGCAGGACCAGCTTACTGTCGTCTGCCGCCGCCGTGGCCATGGCACTCTGCATCTCCTTCATCACCTGAGGCAGCCAAGAGAGGGAGAGGTATTCAAAAATATTTTCTATTATTATGGGCCAGTTTCCCGGACACAGATGAAGCCTAGTCTTGGACTAAGAAGCCCTTTCGATGGAGAATGATCACTGGAAATAATTGATTTAGTCTAGGACTTAATCTGTGTCCAGGAAACCATCCCAATATATGTTTGAAGGACCAGTATTTTACTTTCTTTTCAGATATTTTGCTCAATTATATTTGACTACCAACAGTTTGGAAATGTTGGCATAACAAAACTATAAAATACTACTAATTTTGGCCTGTAGCGCCAACTGTCATGCTATAATAACGATTGTTTTGTTAGGGCAAAGAGACAGACAGACAGGCAGAAAGACAAGGCAGGCGTACAACTCACGTCGGGGTTGAGTGAGTTGTTCTCCGAGGTCTTGGTGGAGAGCAGGATGTGGGTGAAGCCGTCCTGCTTTTTGACGACGAGGTCCCTGTAACGATAGGCGCTCTCCGTCTGCCGGACACTGAACCGAAGGCGCTTGTCGAAGACCGAGCGCTGCTCTTCGAAGCGTCGTTTCCCTGCCACTCCAGAGACGGCGGTGACTCGCGCCACGGCACTCTGCTGCAGGTTAGCCGTCCCGTTGGCTGCCAGAGCCTCCATGAGTGTCGATGTACCTGGTGGTAAAAAATAAATAAAAAAAAAAAAACACAAAGATACAGGGGGATGGAAATGGGAAGCATTTGGTGACTCTGCCTTTCTTAATATTGTCTGTTTTAATAATCAGCTAAATTAAATATTTGGTACTGCATGTAGTCCCCTGTAGCTCAGTTGGTAGAGCATGGCGCTTGCAACGCCAGGGTTGTGGGTTCGTTTCCCACAGGGGGCCAGTATGAAAATGTATGCACTCACTAACTGTAAGTCGCTCTGGATAAGAGCGTCTGCTAAATGACGTAAATGTAAAATGTCATGAGTAGGTCCCGGTGCTTTTCTGGGCTTCCCTTCTGTTCTACTAAAACAATAGATTAACAGTGCACCAAATTTGAGTTAATTGATCATGAATGAGTGAACACTGAGGTGAAATGGAATTGGCCTAAAGTAAAGATTTGCGTGGCAGTGTCCCCAATCACTCCCCTCGGGCATTGTGGTCTACTTAGACCAGAACGAGAAGTTGTACCTTCATACGTACTCCAACACAACTTCCAGCAGCATCTGGTCTTCCAATTATAAAACGGGTCCAATCAGAGGCAACCCAACAATGGAGTGTTTATGACTTTTGAATGTACAACTACAAGACCTTCGGTTCAGTAAACGGCACAACACAGATATTGCAGTCTATTGAAAAAGCCTTACCTTTCCCATTGAGGGTGCGTATGGATGCGGGTGTTATGGGGACTTGCTGAGGGATCAATGGGATTTGGCTTTGAGTCCTGGGCCGGGTCCCCATGCGCGCCCTTTCTTCCCCGGGCCCCAGCAGCACCCCCAGAGGCTTCTCCAACAGGGCCACCTCTGGGGGGACAGAGTCCTGCTCCTGACCCCCATGCTCCAGACTGTGGGCCGCCTCGCTGGGCGACTCCTCAGAGTCCACCCAGCTGCTCATGGGGCTTTTGGGCACCAGGATTTTGATCCCGGACTTGGCCAGGTCCATGCTCCGACGCGCCGTGCCCACTGGAGAAGCCACAGGCCCACTTGTGAAGCTTGGACTAGAAACAGCACAGGTGGTAGAATCGCTGTACTTTTGGCTCAAGTTAAGCTGCTGTGTGTCCGTTTTGGCATCTGCCAGGCTAGAGTCAAGTGGTGGCAACTGTTGTTGCTGCGGCCGTTTCGAGACGGCCGTAGCTGCTGTGGTGGGCGAAGAGGCGGGTCTCACTAGAGCATGGCTTCCTGCTCCACTATTGCCACTGTGTGGCTGAGGCCTGCAGATCTGCTTGCGGGCGTTGTTGCTCGAACCGTGGCTGTGGGCCGTGCTGGGAGAGCTCTGAGTGGAGCGCAGTAAAGTGCCGTCTTTCTGTTTTTCGCCGTGTGACTGATTAAAATGGTGGATGAACTCCATGCAGGCGGAGAGGTGCGACTCGGGCTCCCAGGTGTCCCCCTCATAGCCGTATCCCCTCCAGCGGACCAGGTACTCCATCTTTCCCTTTTTGTTCTTCCGTTTGTCCACAATTCTCTCAACCTGTGACAGAATTAAACAAGATAGTTGTCAGTGGCAGTGACTGGACGTGGGGCGGTCACTAAGTCATGATTATTGAGACTGAAACGTCTAGGCTATAGCCTACACTGGGCAAATGTTTCGTCGGTATAAATGGCGTTCGCAAACAATTATATTTGCATTCCGCCACCTACTGTACAGGTAGATAATAAAGATCCGAAAAGGAAAAAAATGCGGGATACAAAATAACTCCATACCAACTATCAATAACTAAAATGTTAATTAAACTAAATCAGCCTGCTTTTCTGTTTTAATCAGGTCCCTACACAGGCTCAGAAGGATCCTGTGATGGCGGGACATTTCCCGGTGACAGTAGCCCTTGCAGTGCTTCTGCCATTAAGTCTTGGGAGGCCCAAAAACTTCTCGGGCTGCAGATATAATGATGTCCAGCTTCTTGGACACTTGTGCAGTACAAATAATAACTGTGGCTATAAAATGCTACAAAATCCACCTTCGCAATAAGATTATCCAGATCCATTGATTGACGTATAACATTTGCAACTGGTTGCGGTGCATCCACCGGCAGATCTTCTTCCTCTTGCCCTTCAACTCTCTCCACATAGGAGATTTGCTGTCCAGCCATGATCCTTGACACCTAAACCTTTTTCACCCTAACAGGGCACTCTGGGAATTCAGATATATGATCCCCGCCACAGTTGCAACATTTTACACTCACAGACTCTTCAATAAGATATTCCTTCCGTCTGCAAACACTTGACACACGGCCAAACTTGCTCCGAAAATAAAAGCTTATCCAATTCACGCGTCAATCATTTCACGAGCCACAATGCACTCTCCTTTTGCTCTTTAGATACACACGATATCAACACCATACCACTCCTGGTTACTATGATATCAACACCATACCGCTCCTGGTTACTATGATATCAACACCATACCACTCCCGGTTGCTATGATATCAACACCATACCGCTCCTGGTTAACACTGGGCTACATGTGAGAAACAATCAGACATATGATCAAATCAACTGTGATATTCCAGAGATGTATCGAGTAGAACCACCAGGTTCAGAAAGGCAGTTACTCTACCAACAGGCAGTAGTGTGAATAGATGACTTCATGGCTGATTGGGCCTGTTTATTGTATTAGCCTACTTCATGATTGACCTCCTATCAGCTTTGATTTCAAATTTTATATATATACAGTGGGGAGAACAAGTATTTGATACACTGCCGATTTTGCATGTAGAGGTCTGTAATTTTTATCATAGGTACACTTCAACTGTGAGAGACGGAATCTAAAACAAAAATCACATTGTATGATTAAGTAATTAATTTGCATTTTATTGCATGACATAAGTATTTGATCACCTACCAACCAGTAAGAATTCCAGCACTCACAGACCTGTTAGTTTTTCTTTAAGAAGCCCTCCTGTTCTCCACTCATTACCTGTATTAACTGCACCTGTTTGAACGCGTTACCTGTATAAAAGACACCTGTCCACACACTCAATCAAACAGACTCCAACCTCTCCACAATGGCCAAGACCAGAGAGCTGTGTAAGGACATCAGGGATAAAATTGTAGACCTGCACAAGGCTGGGATGGGCTACAGGACAATAGGCAAGCAGCTTGGTGAGAAGGCAACAACTGTTGGCGCAATTATTAGAAAATGGAAGAAGTTCAAGATGACGGTCAATCACCCTCGGTCTGGGGCTCCATGCAAGATCTCACCTCGTGGGGCATCAATGATCATGAGGAAGGTGAGGGATCAGCCCAGAACTACACGACAGGACCTGGTCAATGACCTGAAGAGAGCTGGGACCACAGTCTCAAAGAAAACCATTAGTAACACACTACGCCGTCATGGAATAAAATCCTGCAGCGCACGCAAGGTCCCCCTGCTCAAGCCAGCGCATGTCCAGGCCTGTCTGAAGTTTGCCAATGACCATCTGGATGATCCAGAGGAGGAATGGGAGAAGGTCATGTGGTCTGATGAGACAAAAATAGAGCTTTTTGGTCTAAACTCCACTCGCCGTGTTTGGAGGAAGAAGAAGGATGAGTACAACCCCAAGAACACCATCCCAACCGTGAAGCATGGAGGTGGAAACATCATTCTTTGGGGATGCTTTTCTGCAAAGGGGACAGGACGACTGCACCGTATTGAGGGGAGGATGGATGGGACCATGTATCGCGAGATCTTGGCCAACAACCTCCTTCCCTCAGTAAGAGCATTGAAGATGGGTCGTGGCTGGGTCTTCCAGCATGACAACGACCCGAAACACACAGCCAGGGCAACTAAGGAGTGGCCCCGTAAGAAGCATCTCAAGGTCCTGGAGTGGCCTAGCCAGTCTCCAGACCTGAACCAAATAGAAAATCTTTGGAGGGAGCTGAAAGTCCGTATTGCCCAGCGACAGCCCCGAAACCTGAAGGATCTGGAGAAGGTCTGTATGGAGGAGTGGGCCAAAATCCCTTCTGCAGTGTGTGCAAACCTGGTCAAGACCTACAGGAAACGTATGATCTCTGTAATTGCAAACAAAGGTTTCTGTACCAAATATTAAGTTCTGCTTTTCTGATGTATCAAATAATGTTATGCAATAAAATGGAAATTAATTACTTAAAAATCATACGATGTGATTTTCTGGAATTTTGTTTTAGATTCCGTCTCTCACAGTTGAAGTGTACCTATGATAAAAATTACAGACCTCTACGTGCTTTGTAAGTAGGAAAACCTGCAAAATCGGCAGTGTATCAAGTCCTTGTTCTCCCCACTGTATATATATAGTACCAGTCAAAAGTTTGGACACACCTACTCATTCCAGGGTTTTTCTTTATTTTTACTATTTTCTACAATGTAAAATCATAGTGAAGACATCAAAACTATGAAATAACACATATGGAATCATGTAGTAACCAAAAAAAGTGTTCAACAAATCAAAATATATTTTATATTTGAGATTCTTCAAAGTAGCCACCCTTTGCCTTGATGACAGCTTTGCACACTTTTGGCATTCTCTCAACCAACTTCATGAGGTAGTCACTTGGAATGCATTTCAATTAACAGGTGAGCCTTCTTAAAAGTTAATTTGTGGAATTTCTTTCCTTCTTAATGCGTTTGAGCCAAATCAGTTGTGTTGTGACAAGGTAGGGGGGGGGGTATACAGAAGATAGCCCTATTTGGTAATAGACCAAGTCCATATTATGGCAAGAACAGCTCAAATAAGCAAAGAGAAACGACAGTCCATCATTACTTTAAGACATGAAGGTCAGTCAATACGGAAACATTTCAAGAACTTTGAAAGTTTCTTCAAGTGCAGTTCGCAAAAACCATCAAGCGCTATAATGAAACTGGCTCTCATGAGGACCACTACAGGAATGGAAGACCCAGAGTTACCTCTGCTGCAGAGGAAAGTTAATCAGAGTTACCAGCCTCAGAAATTGCAGCCCAAATAAATGCTTTATAGAGTTCAAGTAACAGACACATCTCAACATCAACTGTTCATAGGGGACTGTGTGAATCAGGCCTTCATGGTCAAATTGCTGCAAAGAAACCACTACTAAAGGACACCAATAATAAGAAGAGATCTGCTTGGGCCAAGAAACACGAGCAATAGACATTAGACCGGTGGAAATGTGTCCTTTGGTCTGGAGTCCAAATTTGAGATTTTTGGTTCCAACCGCTGTGTCTTTGTGAAACGCGGTGTGGGTAAACGGATGATCTCTGCATGTGTATTTCCCACAGTAAAGCATGGAGGAGGAGGTGTTATGGTGTGGGGGTGCTTTGCTGGTGACACTGTCTAGTGATTTATTTAGAATTCAAGGCACACTTAACCAGCATGGCTACTACAGCATTCTGCAGCGATACGCCATCCCATCTGGTTTGGGCTTAGTGGGACTATCATTTGTTTTTCAACAGGACAATGACCCAACACACCTCCAGGCTGTGTAAGGGCTATTTTACCAAGAAGGAGAGTGATGGAGTGCTGCATCAGATGACCTGGCATCCACAATCACCCAACCTTAACCCAATTGAGATGGTTTGGGATGAGTTGGACTGCAGAGTGAAGGAAAAGCAGCCAACAAGTGCTCAGCATATGTGGGAACTCCTTCAAGACTGTTGGAATATATATATATATATATATATATATTTATTTTATTTTTATTTCACCTTTATTTAACCAGGTAAACCAGTTGAGAACAAGTTCTCATATACAACTGCGACCTGGCCAAGATAAAGCAAAGCAGTGCGATAAAAACAACAACACAGAGTTACATATGGGGTAAAACAAAACAAAGTCAAAAATACAACAGAAATACATATATATACAGTGTGTGCAAATGTAGCAAGTTATGGAGGTAAGGCAATAAATAGGCTATAGTGCAAAATAATTACAATTAGTATTAACACTGGAATGATAGATGTGCAAGAGATGATGTGCAAATAGAGATACTGGGGTACAAATGAGCAAAATAAATAACAATATAGGGATGAGGTAGTTGGGCGGGCTAATTTCAGATGGGCTGTGTACAGGTGCAGTGATCGGTAAGGTGCTCTGACAACTGATGCTTAAAGTTAGTGAGGGAGATAAGTGTCTCCAGCTTCAGAGATTTTTGCAATTTGTTCCAGTCATTGGCAGCAGAGAACTGGAAGGAATTGCGGCCAAAGGAGGTGTTGGCTTTGGGGATGACCAGTGAGATATACCTGCTGGAGCGCAGACTACGGGTGGGTGTTGCTATGGTGACCAATGAGCTAAGATAAGGCGGGGATTTGCCTAGCAGTGATTTATAGATGGCCTGGAGCCAGTGGGTTTGGCGACGAATATGTAGTGAGGACCAGCCAACAAGAGCGTACAGGTCACAGTGGTGGCTATTATATGGGGCTTTGGAGACAAAAACGGATGGCACTGTGATAGACTACATCCAATTTGCTGAGTAGAGTGTTGGAGGCTATTTTGTAAATGACATCGCCGAAGTCAAGGATCAGTAGGATAGTCAGTTTTACGAGGGCATGTTTGGCAGCATGAGTGAAGGAGGCTTTGTTGCGAAATAGGAAACCGATTCTAGATTTAACTTTGGATTGGAGATTCTTAATGTGAGTCTGGAAGGAGAGTTTACAGTCTAACCAGACACCTAGATATTTGTAGTTGTCCACATACTCTAGGTCAGACCCGTCGAGAGTAGTGATTCTAGTCGGGTGGGCGGGTGCAAGCAGCGTTCGGTTGAAGAGCATGCATTTAGTTTTACTAGTGTTTAAGAGCAGTTGGAGGCTACTGAAGGAGTGTTGTATGGCATTGAAGCTCGTTTGGAGGTTTGTTAACACAGTGTCCAATGAAGGGCCAGATGTATACAAAATGGTGTCGTCTGCGTAGAGGTGGATCTGAGAGTCACCAGCAGCAAGAGCGACGTCATTGATATACACGGAGAAAAGAGTCGGCCCAAGAATTGAACCCTGTGGCACCCCCAGAGAGACTACCATAGGTCCAGACAACAGGCCCTCCGATTTGACACATTGAACTCTATCTGAGAAGTAGTTGGTGAACCAGGCGAGGCAGTCATTTGAGAAACCAAGGCTATTTAGTCTGCCAATAAGAATGCGGTGGTTGACAGAGTCGAAAGCCTTGGCCAGGTCAATGAAAACGGCTGCACAGTACTGTCTATTATCGATCGCGGTTATAATATCGTTTAGGACCTTGAGCGTGGCTGAAGTGCACCCATGACCAGCTCGGAAACCGGATTGCATAGCGGAGAAGGTACGGTGGGATTCGAAATGGTCGGTGATCTGTTTGTTGACTTGGCTTTCAAAAACTTTTGATATGGATATGGGTCTGTAACAGTTTGGATCTAGAGTGTCACCCCCTTTGAAGAGGGGGATGACCGCGGCAGCTTTCCAATCTCTGGGGATCTCAGACGTTACGAAAGAGAGGTTGAACAGGCTAGTAATAGGGGTTGCGACAATTTCGGCGGCTAGTTTTAGAAAGAAAGGGTCCAGATTGTCTAGCCCAGAAGATTTGTAGGGGTCCAGATTTTGCAGCTCTTTCAGAACATCAGCTGTCTGGATTTGTGTGAAGGAGAAGCGGGGGGGGGGGCATGGGCAAGTTGCAGCGGAGGGTGCAGAGCTGGTGGCCAGGGTAGTGGTAGCCAGGTGGAAAGCATGGCCAGCCGTAGCAAAATGGCTTGTTGAAATTCTCGATTATTGTAGATTTATCGGTGGTGATAGTGTTTCCTAGCCTCAGTGCAGTGGGCAGCTGGGAGGAAGTGCTCTTATTTTCCATGGACTTTACAGTGTCCCAAAACTTTTTGGAGTTAGTGCTACAGGAAGCAAATTTCTGTTTGAAAAAGTTAGCCTTTGCTTTCCTAACTGCTTGTGTATATTGGTTCCTAACTTCCCTGAAAAGTTGCATATCGCGGGGGCTATTTGATGCTAATGCAGTACGCCACAGGATGTTTTTGTGCTGGTCAAGGGCAGTCAAGTCTGAGGAGAACCAGGGGCTATATCTGTTCTTAGTTCTGTATTTTTTGAATGGGGCATGTTTATTTAAGATTGAGAGGAAATTACTTTTAAAGGCACATTATATATATATATATAATAATATGCCATTTAGCAGACGCTTTTATCCAAAGCGACTTACAGTCATGCGTGCATACATTTTTGTGTATGGGTGGTCCCGGGGATCGAACCCACCATCTTGACATTACAAGCGCCGTGCTCTGCCAGCTGAGCTACAGAGGACCACATATATATATATACACACACATACACATACACTACACTAGCATTTTTTGGGTCCATTAAAAAAACATCAAATGTATCAGAAATACAGTTTAGACATTGTTAATGTTGTAAATGGCTATTGTAGCTGGCAGCTTCATTAAATAGTACCCACAAAACACCAGTCTCAACGTCAACAGTGAAGAGGCAACTCCGGGATGCTGACCTTCTAGGCAGAGTTGCAAAGAAAAAGTCCAGTGTCTGTGTTCTTTTGCCCATCTTAATCTTTCCTTTTTATTGGCCAGTCTGAGATATGGCTTTTTCTTTGCAACTCTGCCTAGAAGGTCAGCATCCCGGAGTCGCCTCTTCACTGTTGACGTTGAGACTGGTGTTTTGCGGGTACTATTTCATGATGCTGCCAGTTGAGAACCTGTGAGGCGTCTGTTTCTCAAACTAGACACTAATGTATTTGTCCTCTTGCTCAGTTGTGCACCGGGGCCTCCCACTCCTCTTTCTATTCTGGTTAGAGGCAGTTTGCGCTGTTCTGTAGTAGTACGCAGCGTTGTACAAGATCTTCAGTTTCTTGTCAATTTCTCGCATGGAATAGCCTTCATTTCTCAGAAAAATAATAGACTGACGAGTTTCAGTTCTTTGTTTCTGGCCATTTTGAGCCTGTAATCTAACCCACAATTACTGATGCTCCAGATACTCAAGTAGTCTCAAGAAGGCTTCTTTAAATCAGCACAACAGTTTTCAGCTGTGCTAACATAATTGCAAAAGGGTTTTCTAAAGATCAATTAGCCTTTTAAAATGATTGGATTAGCAAACACAATGTGCCATTTGAACACATGACTGATGGTTGCTGATAATGTGCCTCTGTACGCCTATATAGATATTCCATTAAAAATCAGCCGTTTCCAGCTACAATAGCCATTTACAACATTAACAATGTCTACACTGTATTTCTGATCAATTTGATGTTATTTTAATGGACAAAAAAAATTGTTTTTCTTTCAAAAACAACGAAATGTCTAAGTGACCCCAAACTTTTGAACAGTAATATATATATATATATATATATATGAATGATCGCTGTAGCTATTTGTAGGCCTATGTTATCTGTCTAGCTGTTTCTAATGTGAGAGCTCTGTGAGTAAGATTTCCAATGAAGGCAATTTAACTACCAGTAAATGGCAAACTTGATCTTCATAGAAAGCCAATGAGTATGTTGAGTTTGAAACTAAAATGTTCAATGTAACTTTACACCATTATCTCATACGGTCTAGATAGGATAGGGGTAGACTTGGCTACCTATAATAGTTAGCATACTATTAACTAGAGATTGGAAAGCATTCACATAATTACATATAGAATAGTACTTTAATATTATATCTGAAAGCATACGCCTAAAATGTTGGATTGGCGTGTTAAAAAAAAAAAAAACTGGCCACAATTGTTTGTGAATCATTGTTAGTTATACACCTGGAGAAGTGAGGCAAAATATTCTGGGTTCAATTTATAACAGACAGTGGAAAGTACAAAAGCTGACTAGCTAACTCACTAAGTTAAAACTAGCCAAGAAGACAACAGACCCCGTGCCGTGGCTATCGCTGCCCGTATCTAATCACAACAGCACACAGATCTAGCTAGCAAATAACACAGCAGATCCTCATGCTAATAAATATGATAGGCTATCGTAAGGTGGCCCAACTTCGACCTACAGTAGTACTCTAGTAGGCAACGCGTCCTGGCCTTACATTTTAATGAAGCTAATGTTAGGTTGCTTTCAAGCCAGGGAGCTAGCTGGCTAAGTAGCTAGCTAGCTACACGAACCAAAAAAAACATTTCAGATAACGCTAGCTAGCAGTGGATAGCAGCTTGCTAACTCACCTCATAAAGCTCTTCTGAGGCCATTATGAGCAAATTATCTCGCCGTTTGTCTATCAAAACTTATTTGGTTGAAGGCACCTTCTTCCCAAGATGTGATGAAGCCCAATTTAGGTGTATTTGGCCTACCCCAATCCTCGTAACGTTAGCTATCTAGGTACTCGGGGTGGTGTACTGTCCAGCCCAGCATGCGAACTTTTTGTCTGGGATCTGTGTACCGAACTATTTATTTTGCGCTCTCACAGCTGCGCATATTTTGCGCATAAGGATGCGGTTTTGAAACCTAGACTGATATTGCCAGACTGCTGGTAGCTCAGTGTTGCACAATGTATTTATTTTCGCCTCAGTGTAGATATGGAGGCAATGTTCAATACATTATCTTTCATAATCCACTGTTTGATATTGTCCTTTGTAATTGTTGGGTGAATAACATCCTTTCCTTTCTTGCTTTTTCATATGCTCTGCACTGTATCAGTGATGTCTTTGATTGTATGGACTTATGCTTTAAAGCCATTTTCATTACTTGACTGTAACCTTTCATGTTGTAGTTACAAATAGGCCTACATACATTACATTATTACATTACATTTATACATCTGACATGTAGGCTTAGCGACCTGAAATCCTTCATTCAAAGGCACATACATGTGAATGGCGGGGAATGAATGAGTTCGTGTGCATTATTATGTCAAACATCAGTGCTGCTCTCTCTTAGCAAGAATACACCAGATTGTCCTCTAATAAAAAAGTAGCCAAACTGTCCACATGGATTGATCAAAAGACACAAGATGAGAAGGAATTGTTTTAAACTATATTTATAATTGGGAATTGTTTTAAACTATATTTATAATTGGGAATTGTTTTAAACTATATTTATAATTGGGAATTGCATGTCATTTCTACTTCCTATCCTATCCCTGAGTGTGATAGCCGAAAGGCTTAAATTGCATAATAAGATGAAGAATTAACAGGTTAAGACATTTTATTTTAACATTGAAGAAAATATGGTTAATTAACATTGAGGGGAAAAAAAGGTGGTTCTCAAAACCATAGACAATGGATCCAAGTTTGAGGTAAGATCTGAACCATTTCGGAAACATAAAAGTTATTTTTATTTTTATACATTGGTTTCAATGGGGAGTTATTTTGGTCTATTGTGAAGTTATCATTATGGTGACATTATTGCCTTTGTGGATAAGGTTACTTACAGTGCCTTCAGAAAGTATTAATACCCTTTGACTTATTCCACATGTTGTTGTGTTACAGCCTGAATTAAAAACTGATTAAATATTTTTTTTAATCAGTTTTTAATACCCCATAATGACAAAGTGAGGACATGTTTTTAGAAAAGTTTGCACATTTATTTAAATTTAAATTCAAGTTGAAATAAGTCAAAACTGTAACTCAGCCACTCAGAAACATTCGTTGTCTTCTTGGTAAGCAACTCCAGTGTAGATTTGGCCTTGTGTTTTAGGTTATTGTCCTGCTGAAAGGTGAATTCATCTCCCAGTGTCTGGTGGAAAGCAGACTGAACCAGGTTTGCCTCTAGGATTTTGCCTGTGCTTAGCTCCATTCCATTTATTTTTTATCCTGAAAAACTCCCCAGTCCTTAACGATTACAAGCATACCCATAACATGATGCAGCCACCACTATGCTTGAAAATATGGAGAGTGTTGTATTGGATGTGTTGTATTGGAATTGCCCCAAACATAACACCTTGTATTCAGGACATAAAGTGAATTGCTTTGCCACATTTTTTGCAGTATTACTTTAGTGTGTTGTTGCAAACAGGATGCATGTTTTGTAATATTTTTTATTCTGTACAGGCTTTCTTCTTTTCACTCGGTCAATTAGGTGAGTATTGTGGAGTAACTACAATGTTGTTGATCCATCCTCAGTTATCTCTTATCACAGCCATTCAACAACGTAACTGTTTTAAAGTCACCATTGGCCTCATGGTGAAATCCCTGAGCGGTTTCCTTCCTCTCCGGTAACTGAGTTAGGAAGGACGCCTGTATATTTGTAGTGACTGGGTGTATTGATACACCATCCAAAGTGTAATTACTAACTTCACCATGCTCAAAGGGATATTCAATGTCAGATTTTTTTATTTGTACCCATATATCAATAGGTGCCCTTCTTTGCGAGGCATTGGAAAACCTCCCTGGTCTTTGTGGTTGAATATGTGTTTGAAATGCACTGCTCAACTGAGGGACCGTACAGATACAGTGCCTTGCAAAAGTATTCATCCCCCTTGGCGTTTTTCCTATTTTGTTGCATTACAACCTGTAATTTAAATGGATTTTATTTGAATGTCATGTAATGGACATACACAAAATAGTCCAAATTGGTGAAGTGAAATGAAAAAAATTACTTGTTTCAAAAAATTCTAAACAATAAATAATGGAAAAGTGGAGCTTTGATATGAAGCCCCTAGATAAGATCTGGTGCAACCAATTACCTTCAGAAGTCATATAATTAGTTAAATAAAGTCCACCTTTGTGCAATCTAAGTGTCACATGATCTCAGTATATATAAACCTGTTCTGAAAAGCCCCAGAGTCTGCAACACCACTAAGCAAGGGGCACCACCAAGCAAGTGGCACCATGAAGACCAAGGAGCTCTCCAAACAGGTCAGGGACAAAGTTGAGGAGAAGTACAGATCAGGGTTGGGTTATAAAAAAATATCCGGAACGTTGAACATCCCATGGAGCACCATTAAATCCATTATTAGAAAATTGAAAGAATATGGCACCACAACAAACCTGCCAAGAGAGGGCCGCCCACCAAAACTCATGGACCAGGCATTAATCAGAGACCAAAGATAACCCTGAAGGAGCTGCAAAGCTCCACAGCGGAGATTGGAGTATCTGTCCATAGGACCACTTTAAGCCATACACTCCACAGAGGTGGGCTTTACGGAAGAGAGAAAAAAATAAGCAAACACGTTTGGTGTTCGCCAAAAGGCATGTGGGAGACTCCCCAAATATATGGAAGAAGGTACTCTGGTCAGATGAGACTAAAATTGAGCTTTTTGGCCATCAAGGAAAATGCCTGGCGCAAAACACAACACCTCTCATCACCCCGAGAACACCATCCCCACAGTGAAGCATGATGGTGGCAGCATCATGCTGTGGGGATGTTTTTCATCGGCAGGGACTGGGAAACTGGTCAGAATTGAAGGAATGATGGATGGCGCTAAATACAGGGAAATTCTTGAGGGAAACCTGTTTCAGTCTTCCAGAGATTTGAGACTGGGACGGAGGTTCACCTTCCAGCATACTGCTAAAGCAACACTCGAGTGGTTTAAGGGGAAACATTTAAATGTCTTGGAATGGCCTAGTCAAAGCCCAGACCTCAATCCAATTGAGAATCTGTGGTATGACTTAATGATTGCTGTACACCAGCGGAACCCATCCAACTTGAAGGAGCTGGAGCAGTTTTGCCTTGAATAATGGGCAAAAATCCCAGTGGCTAGATGTGCCAAGCTTATAGAGACATACCCCAAGAGACTTGCAACTGTAATTACTGCAAAAGGTGGCTCTACAAAGTATTGACTTTGGGGGGGGGGGGGGGGGTGAATAGTTATGCACACTCAAGTTTTCAGAGAACAGTTTACAGTTACTTTATTCATGTTTCAGTATAACAGTATAAAAGTTGTACAGTGTAACAGTGGTTTTGTTGCGCACTGTAAGCCTTCAGTTCCGAGGACGCAAATGTGTTTTGCATAACTTTGCTTTAGCTAATGGATCTTAATGTTTATTGGTAGATCTATTTGGTCGTCATTTTCTCATGTTAAGACTAACATTTCACGAAGCTATACACGGTGTCGCAATGCTGCCATTTTTAGACTGCTGGTTGGCGGCAATAATGTAATTACTTGTTCGGTAATTAAAGTGGGAAATTCAAACATTGCAGATTGTACATGAACCCACATGACTGAGCCGTCCTCGCGCTCTCTCCCAGCTTGGATAGAATGTTGTTGTGCATAAAACCAGTCTAGTAATGCCAAAAAATACAGTCAGTCCACCCTCAAAACACTAGCTTACTTTGTTTCATTATGCAGTGTAGCCTACTATCTATAGCTATTTACAGTATTTAGCTGCTATTTTATTTTATTTATAAACTTTTAATAAAAATTACACATCAAATAGCCTAACAATGAGGAAAAAAGTAGTCGGCTTGAGCATAAATTCAGGTACTACTCAGTCAGATTTTGTCTGGCTAATAGCCTACACAAATGGTCTGCAATATTCAATGTAAATTGTATTAAATTAAAATGTAATCCAACATGAGAGACTCCCCCTGGTTCCTGAAGTCCTCCTTTTTTGTGTGCAAATGTTTTCACCACGGCCTGTAGGTCCAGGATGCGGGCCTGACTGTTTTCTATACTGAGTACTGCCAACCCAGACAGTCTTTTCTGAGACATTGTGCATTATATTATACATTTTGCCACTATTTATTGTTGAACTTACACAAATGGACTGCAATCAAGGTCAATTAAATTAAATCCAACTTGAGACTCCCCTGGGCTTCTGAGATATTGTGCAGTATATGTCCATTGCGCTGCACACAATTTAAACTTAGTCTTGAATGATGCATGCCAAGATATACCAGAGATAACGGACTGTTGATATTGCAACCACACAACTCAAACGCCGGTTCACCAGTAGCCACTAAAGATGATAATCTGTTTGCATCTGCCAATTTATTGGCTGTCCTGTATCTAGACGAACTGTCACCAGAGCTTCGTATACAGTTCATCTCTTTGAGAATGAGAGGCTCATGTTAAGATGTTGCAGAACTGCTGTATTTGAAACGCCACTCCCTTCTGTTTCCCTGATGTTGCTATGGCAATCAAGCTGTTTTTAACCATCCCTGTAACTGTCGCTTCTGCGGAGAGACTGTTTTCTAAACTAAAACTCAAAGAACTCCCTAAGACGCATTAGGCTCTCGGTCTGATATGCGCTTTTGAACACCTGAGTAAGCTCCAATCATTACACTGGCACCATCAAAGCCTTAATCACGGCTTTTGTTCACCGAGACACTTTTTGAGTCGCATTCCTGAAGCCCAAGACACAAACACTTAGCTTCCTAGTACATATGGAAATTAAAAAGGTTTATGAATTACTTTTTGGAGGGTTACTGTCAAAATGATTTATTACATTAAAAAAAAAAGACATTGA